TTTCTTTTCTTTTCTTTTCTTTTTTTTTTTTTTTTTTGAGACAGAGTCTTATCATGTTGCCCTCGGTAGAATGCTATGGCATCACATCTCATAGCCTCAAACTCTTGGGCTTAAGCTATCCTCTTGCCTCAGCCTCCCAAGTAGCTGGGACTACAGGCACCTGCCACAACGCCTCGTTATTTTTGTTGTTGTTGCAGTTGTCATTGTTTAGCAGGCCCTGGGCTGGGTTTGAACCCGCCTGCCTTGGTGTATGTGGCTGGTGCCCTAAACCTGAGCTTGCCAAGCCAAGCCTACGGCTTTTCTCTGATCTTGAGGAGAGTTTACTATCCTAGTGGAAGCAGGGAGGACTGAAAGCACTCATAACAGAGGGACCTGTCAGGTTGCATTTAGAATCTACTGTGACCAGCATCTTCAGAATTAACCATAATACCTTCCCTCCTTCCCTGTGACCAGATGGGAAAGAACCTAGATTCTTTCTTTTCATTACTCACATGCAGAATATCCACACAGCCCCTAATATTTGGAAGCTTTGTCTCTTTGGGGTGAGGATGAGAGAGTAAATCTTTTTTCAGCTGGGGCTGGGTTTGAACCTGCCACCTCTGGCATGTGGGGCTGGTGCCCTACTCCTTTGAGCCACAGGCGCCACCCGACAGAGTAAATCTTAAGAAAAGTTAAGAAGCCATTAAAGAAAGCCCATGCAAGAGTCAGTGATTGGCAACAAGTGACCCAGTTGGAATGAAAAGCCTGTATTTTCAGGCCATAACAGGAAGTAGGGAGGAATGAATGGGAGGAGATGTACAGTGACAGGGCATACTCCAGTAGTGTTCACAACCCCAAGGTAGCCACTCCACAATCTGAACTGTAGCTGGGAGCTCCACAGGGCCTCTTCATCCCCAATACTTTTAACAGATGACTGCTTTATCTGTATCTCTGGCCCAGACTTCTTGGACCTAAAAACTCAACTGACTACCAGCATCTCCAGTTGGTTGGCTCAGAGGCACCCAACAACACTCTAAACTGATCTCATCTTCTCTGCCTCCTGAAAATGGCTCTTCTAGCATTCCCCAAGTAAATGGTATCACTAACCACTTAGCTGCTTAAACCAGAAACTTGAGTTTATCAACCCTCTGTCCTTCTCCTTTAACTCTAAATCCAACCAAGTCCTATCAATCAGCAAGTTCTGTCAATTCTCCTTCCTAAATATCTTGCAAATCTGTTCCTCTCCTTGCCCCTATCATCACAATAGATATCTTTTCTCTCCTAAACCAATGCAAAAGTCTCCCAGCCATCACTTGCTCTCTTGCATCTATCTTATAACCTGAGGCTATGTGATTCTTCTAATACAGATGCTTCTCAAGTTATGATGGGGTTACATCTAGATAAAGTTTATCCAATAAACTCATTATAAGTTGAAAATAGGGTAAGGTGAAAGTGCATTTTCAACTTAGAATATTTTTTTCTTATTTTTTTGAGATAGAGTCTTACTATGTCACCCTCAGTAGAGTGCTGTGGTGGCAAAGCTCACAGCAACCTCAAACTCTTGGGCTCAAGTGATTCTCTTGCCTCAGCCTCCCAGATAGATGGGACTAAAGGCACCTGCCACAACACCTGGCTATTTTTTTGTTGTTGTCATTGTTGCTTATGGCTGGCGCCTTAACCCCTGAGCTATGGAAGCCAAGCCAGCTTAGAGTATTTTTAATTTACAACGGGTTTATCTGGATGTAACCTAACAGTAAAACAAGGAGCATACTGGGTGCACATTACTTTTGCACCATCATAAGTTGAACCATCATGAGTGGAGACTGTCTAACATCCACAAAACTGATCGTTTCATTTCCGAGCTTAAAACCTTTTAATGATTTCTCACTGCTCTTGAGCTAAAATCTATTTTATAAGATGTTTTAGCACATCTCTACCTATCCAGCCTCTCCTCTCAGCATTATCCCTTCCCCAAACTGGCCTGCAATCGAATTAGACCTTGGCTTACAATCTCTTGCCTCTGGACTTTTGTACCTGCTATTTCCTGTGTTTGGAACACTTTCAGCCTCTCCCTTCTCCTGGTTAAAATTCCTCTCATCTTAGGTACCAATTTAAACATTTCTTCCTCTGAGAAGCCTTTCTAGACTGCAAGAGTAAGTTAGGTACCCTTGCTGTATACTGCCAAAGCACCCTGAATGGCCCCATAGTCACCCTTCCCATAGTTTATTTCATTGCCTACTCAATTGCCTGGCTTCCTGACTAGCCAATAGAACCTCTGATCAGCATGTAACCTTTATCAACAGTGTATCCACAGCACCTAGCACAGTACCTTGACACTAGTAAGAATCAATATTTGTTGTATGACTGCATAAATGAATTAAAGTCATTTTTACTTCTCAATCCACTCAAAATGCATATATGAGTGAGCACGTGCAAGCACGCACACACACCCACACCTTCCCTAAAATGCAGCCTGGCTAAGAAATAGCTATGAAGACGACTAAGATAAGACTAAGAAATAGCTACGGCTCGGCGCCTATAGCTCAACCGGCTAAGGCGCCAGCCACGTACACCTAAGGTGGCGGGTTCGAATCCCCAGCCCG